ATTTAAATTGGTATTCTGTTATTGTTTAGCCGTGTGATTAATTGCAACTATTTTTTAAATTTAATTGCAATTATTTTTTTAATTATTTGACAGCCCAAAAAATTACTCAAGATAGTTAAGTCCAAAGCTGACTGTGAAAAGTTACAAAAGGATCTCATCCAACTGGGCGACAAAATGGCAGATGAAATTCAATGTTCATAAATGCAAAGTAATGCACATTGGAAAACATCATCCCAACTCTACATATAAAGTGCTGGGGTCTAAATTAGCGGTTACCGCTCAGCAGAGAGAGCTTGGAGTCACTGTGGATCGTTCTCTGAAAACAGCCACTCAATGTGCAGCATTAGTCAAAAAAGCGAACAATGTGACTTGCGAACATTAGGAATGGGATAGCTAATAGGACAGAAAATATCCTAATGCCGCTATATAAATCCGTGGTACAGCCACACCTTCAATCCTGTGTGTCGTTCTGGTCGCCCATCTCAGAAAAGATATATAATTATAAACTGGAAAAGGTACAGGGAAGGGCAACCGAAATGATTCAGGGTCTGGAACGGCTTCTGTATGGGGCAAGATTAAATGACTGGGACTGTTCAGTGTGGAAAAGAGACGACTGAGAGGGGATAGGGCAGAGGGCTATAAAATCATGACTGGTGTGAAGAAAGTGAACAGAGAAGTGTTATTTACCCTTTCACATAACAAGAACTAGGGGTCACCCCATGAAACGAACAGGCAGCCCGTTTAAAACAAGCAAAACGAAGTATTTCTTCACACAACGCACAGTCAACCTGTGGAACTCCTTGCAGGGGAGATTGTGAAGGCCAAGACTATAACAGGGTTAAAAAGTGAACTAGATCAGTTCCTGGAGGACAGGTCCATCAATGGCTATTAGCCAAATGGTCAGGGACGCAACCCCATGCTCTGGGTGTCCCTAGACCTCTCTGACTGCCAGAAGCTGGGCCTGGACGACAGGGGATGGACCACTCAGTAAATTGCCCTGTTCTGTTCATTCTCTTTGAAGCCCCTGGCACTGCCCACTGTCAGAAGACAGGACACTGGGCTAGATGGACCATTGGTCTGACCCAGCCTGGCCGTTCTTATGGAACATGGCCCCCCGCCAGCCCGCAGGACCCCATTAGCAATGAGGGAGGCAATGCTGGGCTGGGGAAGGGCTCTCCAGGATGGGGAAGCCGGGGGGTGCTCCCCTACAGCAGCAGAGCTCTCTGCTTTCCAGCCCGCACCTTCCTGGGCAGACGCGGCTCTTTCGGTTTATTTTTCCCCGGGCGGTGCAGCCAGCCCCGCGGTGAAACATGCCGTTAAGCAGGAGGGAGCAGCGCGGGGTGCGGGGGACACCGTGGTCTCCCAGCCAGTGCACGTAACCAGCTGTTGGGAGCATACAGCGCTCCCGTCCTTTGCCCAGCCCTCTGGTTTCCCCATTGAGATGCTAATGGTCGGGCGGAGGCAGGCTGGGTTTTGTCATTAGCGTCTACAGACCAGCATCCTCTTTCCGTGTCCCCTTTGCAGTTCTCTGCTCTCTGGCAGGGGACAGGTGCTCACTACCTGTGAGCTGCCAGGTGCCCGCTGCAGCGTGGCATCTTGTCGCTTCCCATGTCCCTTTGTACTTGTAGCAGCCGATTCCACCCGTGAATCACTCCCCACAGGACAGGGGGGCACTTGCCCTGCAGAGAGCTGGACGTACCCACCAGACAGCTGGGGACGCTTGTGCAAACGTGACGGGGGCCGGTCTGGTGGGATGGAAGCATTGTCTGGGTTCAGCAGGGCGATGGGCTCCTCGGGCGCTGTTACCGAACAGCTGGGCAAAAGGCCTGATGGCACTGCATGGGTCAGCACTTGCTTGTGGGTGGGAGACGGCACGGCGCGATTGGACCGCTCGTGCTGACATGACTCCATGGGTTGCAGGGGAGTTACTCCTGGTTCTCCCCAGCGCCAGGCAGGCCCATTCACTTTACCATGTGTTGTGTTACCAGGCGCTGCTCAAGCCCAGCGAGAGACAGGCCCTGCCTTGCAGAGGTCGCAGTGTAGGGGAAAGGAGTCGCCCTGGGGTAGGCCAGCCCTGCACCGGGGAGGAAGGGCTGTCCTTCACCGTCACCTCCTGTTGGTGCCTCAGCACAAGCTTCCCTCCAAAGCCGACTGTCCTGTTCCCTTCTAGGCCCGCACTCCCCATGGGAGAGCGCAGCCCCAAAATGGCATGAGCAACCCCGGGGCTTAGAGTCCTTCCTCTTGCTTGGCTCCCCTTCCTGTTCCAGCAGAGTGGGGGGCAGACAAAGGGGCAGCTCTGCTCATGTCAGAGCACCAGCAAGGCCAGGGAGGGAGAGCCTTTATCCCGCTGCGATTGGCTGGGCAGACGGGTAGGTCGAGGGGCATATTGTACAATGGATGGATCGGTAGCTAGGCTGGGGAGAGTGCAATAGATGGATAGATAAGAGCTGGACGGATGGATGGATAGATAGCTGGATGGGGGAATACGATGGTTTTGGGTGGATGGATGGATGAATGGATGGATAGAGGAGAATAGGATGGATGGACAGATGGAAGAGCGCATCTGGGCTCAGGGGCCACTCGGCTATCCAAAGAGCTTCCTGTCCATCAGGCTCAGAGCCGGCCCCCCCCGCTTCTGTTAACCCCCTTGGCTCAGCCGGCAGCTTGGCAGTGCCAGGGAGAGGCCTCCTCAGGCTGCCATCTCTGATGCTCCCCTTTGTGTGAGAGCGGCAGAAATTCCTGACTGGCACTTGCCCAGGCCGCTGCCCATCCCGGTGCCATGCACTGCAGAGTAATTATCAGCCAGGTGGGAGGACAGGGCTGGGCTGGAGCAATTCCTCTGCTGCATGGATCCTGCTTGGGGTACCAATAAGGAAGTGCCTTTCATCTCTTATCCCCCCACCTCCATGCTCATTTTAATTTGCCTGGGTTGTTATGCTGGACACAGGAAAACCCTGCCTCTCTCTGCTCTGCCAAGCCAGCTGGGTGAAGGCTGGGCGGGGAAGCATTTAAGGGAAGGAGAAGATCACAGGAATGAGAAGCAGTGTGTTCGAAATACGCCAGGAGATGATTTTGTCCCGAGAGCCTTGAATCCTAATGCAGGTTTAAACTCTAGGCTGAATTGTTGCTTGCCACTGGGTTCATTTTTGCATCCTAGCAACAAGTAGGCCCTTTTAAAGATAAAGTGCACATCAGACCAGTGTGTTTGTTCCCTATGAATTTAAAGATGCGTTAGGCTCCTTGATTTCCTCTGCAGGAATGATGTTCTTATGAGTGTGTGCAGGCGTTCCTGTCCCTGACAAGCATGCAAAGCTGATCTGTCCACGGCCGAGTTCTCAGAACAGTAATGTTCTTCTCTCTCTATTGAGCCCTGATGTATTAGAAGGTAAAACTCCTGTGAAAGGAATGCTAGTTATGTTCAAAGCCGGCCGGCAACGCAGTTGACCGCCACCAGGCTGTACGGTGATTCATCTCAGAGACATCTCATTAATTTAGCACATGCTGCCTGAAAGGAAGAGAGCGCTGGCCACCCAAACTGTTCACACAAATAAAATCCATAATGGATGCCACTCACCTTTCCGAGGCGGCTTTGCCTTCCCCTCCCCTCTGGTCTGAAATGTGCGTGGATCTAGGTGAGTAAGCAAATGAGCGTGCGCACACCCACGTGCACACTGTGACACATCTATAATCATACAGTGCATCACTCTGGTCCTAGGAGCTCGGCAAAGTTCACCTCCGCTAATTAAAGGTGACATGCTAAACAATTGGGTTTGAGCTCTTTTTTTCTCCTCTTCTTTATGGTGGATAAAGAAAAGCATGAAAAGGCTTTTTAAAAAATGGTTTCTTTCTTCTTTTTCACTTTAGACATACCCAGTCTTAGCTTCCCTGTTTCTGCTGGTGGTCTCCAGAGGGAGTTTTCTAACCTCTCAAACCAAACGAGCAGGAGCACTGAATATTTAGCAAAGAGAGTCTTTCTCCCTCCTGTATGTTTGGCATTTGAGTGAAATGGGTGCCAATCATAGAAGATCAGGGTTGGAAGGGACCTCGGGAGGTCATCTAGTCCAACCCCCTGCTCAAAGCAGGACCAATCCCCAATTTTTGCCCCAGATCCCTAAATGGCCCCCTCAAGGATTGAACTGACAACCCTGGGTTTAGCAGGCCAGTGCTCAAACCACTGCGCTATCCCTCCCCCAAATCAAAATAACCGACCTCCTCCCCATGCACCTGTTTCAAACAGCCTGACCAAAACCCACTTCCTTCCTTCCCGTTCGGGTTTCATTTCCTTGGTACTTGTGAGAAAGCTGTGCAAATCTGTGATCACACCCAGCGCACTGTGTACATCTTAGTATACTTCTCTGTCACCCTGTTGGATTGTAAGCTCTCTGGGGCACAGACTGGGTGCTGGCATCACTCCTCTGGCACAGTAGGTCTCTCTACAACAAGAGAGTCCACATCTGTGTAGAAGATGGAGCTTTCAAAGGGCTGGTCCCAGACTGGAATGAACTCTGCCAGGAACTAAGGACCATCCCAAACTGCCCCACCATCTGCTCCAAATGCAAGGCATTTCTTTGACAGCGCCTTCTCTGATACACACCCCTAGCAACGTGTGTGTGTATATTATTAAAAAACCCCACTTGATCGCGCACACGTCTCACCCTTGGGAGAGGACGAGGGAACAAATGAGTGACGGGTGTTAGTCATGTAGCTGAATGCCCCTCTGGAAGGTGCTCAGATACTAAGGTGGTGAGCGTGGTATAACAACCTGTACAGACCAGAATAGCACGGGAGTGACAACTTATTATTTGTCTGTACTGCCCCTGCAAAATTAGGGCCCAGCTGATTATGGTCTTTCAGCACTACCATGAGAAAAATGTTAAATAATAATAAACTGACCTCATCAACCCAGCAGTTCTGTAGTCACCCACAGAGCCATCCACGAAAAAAGAAGGGTGGACAAGATCTGCATTTCTAATGTAAAAGCAAATCAACCCCTACAAGGCTTTAATGACAAATACCCTTTATTCATGAGAAAGAAGCCAAAAGGAACGTGCCCTGTGTTTGGTTCCGAGCACATTTGAAGGATGTGCTGACCTTAGGATAGGTTAGGTAGAGGGCACAGGCCTGGGCGTCAGGACACCTGGGTTCTAGTCCTGACCTGCTCTTTAGCTTTGGACAAGTCACTTAATTTCTCCATGCCTCTGTTTCCCCACCCACTTTTTCTCTGCGTAGATCAGGGGTAGGCCACCTATGGCACGCGAGCTGATTTTCAGTGGCACCCACACTGCCTGGGTCCTGGGGCCATCGGTCGCAGGGGCTCTGCTGCCGGCCTTGGGTTCCGTCCGCCGGCCCCGCTCAGCCCGCTGCCGGCCCTGGGTCCCGGCCATCGGTCCAAGGGGCTCCGCTGCCGGCCTGGGGTTCCGTCCACTGGCCCCGCTCAGCCCGCTGCTGGCCCTGGGTCCCGGCCACTGGTCCCAGGGGCTCCGCTGCCGCCCTGGGGTTCCGTCCACTGGCCCCGCTCAGCCCGCTGCTGGCCCTGGGTCCCGGTCACTGGTCCCAGGGGCTCCGCTGCCGGCCTGGGGTTCCGTCCACTGGCCCCGCTCAGCCCGCTGCTGGCCCTGAGTCCTGGCCATCGGTCCCAGGGGCTCCGCTGTAGGTAACACAATCAAATCACCTTTCTGCTCTTCTTGTGCCCTGGCTAGGGTATCACGCTGATCAGACAGAGTTGCTCACCCTTTCCCAACAACGCACTAGCAACAGGCAAAATACAAGCACCAGAATTGTCTGGTCTCTGGGATTTTACATAGACACTAACTGGATGTGACCTAGTTACAGGGCCATTCTCCCGAGCAGACACAAACTTAGGACCCTTCCCTTCCTGGGCTTTAGCTGAATCCAGAACCAACTCTGAGACAACTGCACGACCTTCAACCATCACAGGCTGAAAGGCCCCTTCTGTCTGCTCCACAGACAAAGAAGAGCCGGACACACTTTCTCCTTTACCAGACACACAGCTTGGGACCTCTCTCCCCTTGTCCCAGCACACAGGGCTGTTCGCAGACAACTGCTTGGAGACTGGGGTAGCTCCCTCCACAGGCAAGTCAATACCCGTGACAGACAGAGGCACATTTCCTTCACTGTCCCAATTCTCCACACAGGTAACAGGTAAGGTCCAGGGACACTCATCTTCCACCATCCTCGCCTTCCCACCCTGCTGACCAGACACAGCCATCAGCTCGCAAAGCTGCCTAGGCTCATCCAAACTTTCCTTATTCTCCTCTCCCTTTGCTTGATCTAATTCCAGATTTGCTTCTGAGACATCAGATAGACATTCAGAAACTTCATTCACTGTCAAACAGCTATTTCCCACCAGGTTAGAGTCCCCCTCCCGCTGGTCAGAGCAATATAACATACCAACATTGTTATAAACTGAAATTTCAAGAGGATACAGATTCTCGATTGCATTTTTGACTTCAGGCTGAATTCTGGCAGTTTCTTGTCGCAGGAGAAGCCCTGGTGGAAACGGGTTGAGGTGTTGAGTGCTGGGGAGGCGTGGGGGGAGGCCTGGGGGGGATACAGGCTGTTGCTTGGTGGAAGAAGGCGAGGACTTGTGCGTGTCTGTATCTAGATATATGGAATCTCATTAAGCACCGATTTGATCCTGCAGTCTCATTAAGAATGGGCCTGATCCTTCAGCCCCACTGATGTCTCGTCTAATGGCTGCTGGATCAGGCCCCCGCTACCCAGGGCAGTTGTGCCCTGCCTCCTTTTAGGTGCAGAAGAAGGGGAGGGTGCAGAGAGCTCAAGGGTGGGGCTGAGCACTCACAGTCCTGAGCCGTAGAAGCAGGGAGCAGCCCCCGACTTGCTGAGGGCAGAGGGTGTACCTGAGCCCTGCAGTCCCCTCTCCTGCTCGGGGCGGGGAGGAGGAGGGAGTCAGCAGCAGACCGAGGGAAGGGGGATGGGTTGGGATCAGATGGAGTCTGGGAGGCCACTTGTGCTGCAAGGTCGAGATGCTGCTGCTGGGCCCCTGGGGGCCGCTGCTCGGGGCGAGCAGGAGGGTGGAGCTGGGGACTGGAGCGTGGTCCTTTGTTGGCCACCCTGGTGTTCAGCCAGGAGTCTGCTGCAGGGGAAGCCTGGCTCCAGCCGCACAGGGGTCCCCGGGGAGAGGAGGGGACCTTGCCAGGCACCTACATGCTAAGCTCATGCCTTGGTGCATTAGGCTGAACTTTGGCTGGACCTTCCATTTGGGGCCCATTCAGGAGCAGAGTCCCTACCTGCTCAGCCCCAACCGGGTTAGGACTCAGTTCTCTTGGACTCCGTTTCTCTTCCCTTCGGGTGGTCCTGGCTTTCAGCATGCAAAGACAACGTGGGGATTTCCCAGAATTGCCCTGGCTACTGAGCCCCCTCAGGGGACATTTGCACTGCATGGAGATCTCCCCATGCACTGGTGCTCTTGGGCTGAGAAGGCTGCTCGGTCTCCAGGGCCCTTCCAGGATTTAGCCCATCTGCTGAGACACCCAGTGTCACAGAGTCCCCGGGCGATGCTCTGGAACTGCTCCCTACGAAGCCAGTCCGGACTCTGGGGAAGTCTCCTTTCTGTGCGCAGCCTGTCTTCAGGACACACAGCTCACACAGCTTCCACCTTCCTGGGTCTGACCTCGGAGCATTCAGCATCCTCTGCCCCTCCGTGCGCTTCCCACCGCGAGTTCGCCCAGGCGGGCTCCTGGGGAAGCCAGAGGGTCCTGCCCCCCAACTCTGCAGTCAGACGTGACTCTCAGCCAGCCAGTAAAACAGAGGTTTATTAGACGACAGGAACATGGTCTAACACAGAGCTTGTAGGTGCAGAGAACAGGACCCCTCAGCCGGGTCCATTTTGGGGGGGCAGTGAGCCAGACAACCACGTCTGCCCTTCACTCCTCCTTCCCAGCCAGCCCCAAACTGAAACTCTCTCCAGCCCCTCCTCCCCTGGGCTCTGTCCCTTTCCCGGGCCAGGAGGTCACCTGATTCCTTTGTTCTCCAACCCTTTAGCTCTGCCAGGAAACAGGGTGTTGGCCATTCTCTGTGTCCAGATCCCTGCACACACCTGCCCTCTAGGGCTCTGCAATGATCATACACCCTTACCCCACCACCTAGATACTTAAGAACTGCATAAGGGAAACTAAGGCACCCCCACAATATTCAGAGGAAACATTATGAACAGTCCCGCTTCGTCACACCCAGCAAAGAAGAATCTAGATCCTGCTGCTTGGGGTTGTTTTTCTGGTGTGGATACTAGTTCATTCCCTGGGAACTGGACTGAGACACACCTGGCCGCCCACTTACTTTGTCTTGTTCATTTGGAGATGGAGAATATCCAGAGTTACAATGATAAATAAATAAACAATAAAGGAGAGCTCAGGGAGGGATCAAAACCCTCATGCTTCAGGGCATGAACTGACCACTGATGACTGGGGGTCAGGAGGAAACTGTCCTTGGGATAGATTACCCTATCACTGCCTCCTGCGGGGTTCTGACATCTTCCGCTGTTAGAGGCAGGCTACAGGGCTAGATGGCCCCTTGCAATCCCTCAATTACCACGTTCACACGGCCCACCAGGTGGTAGTAGCTTTGGATCATCGCTACTGAGCTGGGCTGCATTTGCCCTTGCAGGGAAAGGCTCCGTCAGAAAGCCCCTGACTCACACAGCCTCCCCAGATTGGAGCTTTCTGCTCAGCTGGGAGCTGGGATTCAGGGCATCGTTTTCCAGACAGACTCGTCATTATGGCATCAATCCCCCCATCTCCAGATAAAGTGCTTGCTGGCTGCTCTGCAGACAGGCTGGCAGCCCCCTTCCCCTCGGGTAGCTCTCTCACAGCCTCGGCAACGTTGCAAGCCCGGCTCTGGGTACATTTCAGTCCGCGGCCATCTGCACTCCTGTGAGAAGCAGAACTGCAGCCAGTTCACATTAATCTTAGCATCCGTACTGGTGCATGCTTCCTCGGAGCCAGGCCCCTGCCGGGGGCGCTTGTCAGGGCCTGCCTCAGAAGCACCGGTGCATCGCTCCCAGTGACCGGCTCTGTTGGTGCCCTGGCATTCTTCCCGGCTCACTGCAGCTGAGCTGGGCTGGAGCTGGCGATGGGCAGAGGCGGTTCTGAGTTTGTCTAGCTGGAAGCTGAAGGAATTCAGGCTGGAAATAAGGTGTAAATTTGTGAGAGTGAGAATCGTTAAGCACTGGAGCCATTTACCAAAGGTTGCGGTGGAGTCTTCGGGGATTTTTTTTTTCTAAAAGATCTGCCCTAGGAGTTATTTTGGGGGCATTCTCTGGCTTTTGCTGTACAGGAGGGACGACTAGATGATCACCATAGTCCCATCTGGCCTTGGAATCTATGCAAAAGATCGGGCCTCCACCACAGTGATCAGCTGGAAACCAAGGGACGGGTCAAGCACCAGCAAGGAAAGCGGAAAAGTTAGTCACCTACAAACTGATCAGGGCGCGCGCTTGCTTTCAAAGGTCATGGTTGGAAAGATTTAGATACAACAGGCCAGATCCCAGCTGGTGTAAATCAGCATCACTCCACTGGAGACAACGGGCCAGATCCCTGCCTGGGGTAAATCAGCATGACTCTTTTGAAGCTGCTCTGATTTACCCTCGCTGAGGAACTGGCCCAGTATTTCCCTAGGTGACAATATCTTGTCACTTTTTACAAAGCAGCGACTGCCGAACTGGAGTGGGTGGGTGGGGGAGAAATAGCTGCTGAGTCGTGGAGTCACACGACCGCACCTGCACAAAGGCATATGGGTTGTGTGTGTGCAGCATGAAGGGGTGCATCCGTTGTGCCCCAGCTGCCCGGTTTGCACGCACAACTGGGCCTCATCCCCGCAAATATTTGTCCTGCCAAGCTGTGCTTTCCCGCTGCAGGGCCAGGGCCCAGCCTGAAGGGGGCGCACACGGTTGCCAACCGAGGGAAAAAAGGGTGATTGAATCTGGCGTGTCAATCCTGGAAATAGACGGAAATATGGGGAGAATGTTAAAGGCAACCTGGCTGAGGAGTCCCACATTGTACCTACCTTATAGCTGCCATGTTATTCTTCCACACTTCTGAACCATGAGACTATCCCCTCCTCCTCCACCCCCAAACAAGGGTTGCTGTGCAGCCAAGGAAAACAACCCTACACAAACAAACCCCGGGCAGATGAAGTCTCCCTCTATGTGGTCATTCCCATGTTGCAGTCCTTTTTGCTCCCTGCTTTTCTGCTCCACTCTGCTCAGGGGCCTCCTGAACGCTACGAGAACGCTGCTCTCTAAAGCCACGTCTCCGCTCACGGTGGCGTGTAGAGTACGGGCACCCCACGGGTAGCTACATGCCCCAGTGAAAAGCTCCGGCAGCGGGGAAAGGCTCCTGCAGCTCCCCACTGTTGGAGCCTTTTACTGCAGGGAGGAAAGTCTCTGGCAGTGGGACACTACAGTGCTACAAAACAAAAGTGTGGATGTGGGAGGCACAACTGGATGTGCAGAGAGCCATGTAGGCTGCATAGCCTGCGGGGGTCAGGTGTGTGGGTCGCTGGTCTGCTCGTCTAAGCCATCCCTCAGTGTCTACACTGCTGTTTGGACCCATGCTAGCTGGGCGTGCAGCGATACACACCACTCTAAGTGGAGACACAGTCCACGTGGCAGGAGTGAGAAGAAGTGGCTTGTAAGTTCCAGCAGCCTGCCTGTTCGCCGGAATGGAGCAGATAGGTGGGAAGGGGACGGACCGGAGCGGTCAACAGGGCTTTTAGAAATCCAGCCGTGAATGGAAGGCACACTGTGTGACAAGGACCCAGCCTGGGAGACCGGCACACAAAGGATTCGGGTTCTGGGATGCCATCCTCTGGTATAAATATGCCCCGTGCCGTGGCTCTTTATTGCTGGAATGAGCATGTCCGCTGTCTCAGGGGAGGGACGCCAGCTCTGGTGGGTGGAAGGAGCTCTGGGACACGAATGAAATGAAAGCCGTTCAGAGGCCCGTTGGAAACCCGGTTGAGAGGGGACTTGGACGGGGCACAGTTGCTGAGGAACGGGTGGTGGTTCTTAAGCATCTAAGAAGGGCCTGCAAAAGAAATTGGTGAGTAAAATAAAAAGTGGTTAAAAGCTCCTTGCTTGCCCCGTTCCTGTCACCCGGCCTCTCCTCACCTGTGCCCGATGCTGCTCCACAAGAAGAAATGTGTCTCCTGGAACAGTTGTGGGGAGATTTGCAAAGGCGCAAAGTGCAGTTTAGGTACCAGCATTCAGTGGGAGTTGGGCTCCTGCGGCCTGTGTGCTCCTGTGACAGTCTCCCCTCTTGAGGCGAAGGGGGCAGTGGGGTTTAGTGGTTAGAGCGGAGGAGCTAGAGGAGAGAGGGAGGCGGGCCCAGTGGCTAGGGAGCTAGGTGTGGTTTGGGAGACCTCAGTTCAATTCCCTGCTCTGTCACGGGTGTCGTCTGTGACTCGGGGCCTCTCTGCCTCACGTTCCCCAGCTGCACAATGGGAGACTGACCGCATTACAGACTGTGCGGCGCTCAGGTACTGGGGTCGTAGCAGTACCAAAAAGAGCTTTGCCGCTGATCTGTTTTTGGCAAGCCCTCCTGGGAGCATTCAGCACGCCCAGCGCAGGGGAGCTGGCTAGAGTGGGGCTTCTCACAGCACTTTGACCATGGTGCCACGAGTGTAAATGGGTGTGGTGATATTTCCTGGAGGAGGGGAGGGGCTGAGGCCTCGTTAATTACTGGTTGCAGTGGGCTTGGAGAGCTGCAGATGTCAGGAGTTCAAAGCACGAATGGTCGTGATCGTTATAATGATGTCATTGTGCGGGAGGGTGGAGCGCAGTGCATTTCAGCCACGGCCCTGATAAGCCTGAGGGACACCCTGGCACGGACACATGTCTGCCCCGTCAGTGCCTCTTTGCTGTGCTGGGCACACCTGCTCTGGTGCACGTCCACCTCTTCCCTTTCACCGTGCCCTCCGAGGGGGCAGGGGACAAAGGAGACGCTGGGTTTGACTTGGAAGCAGAAAGGACCCATTATTTCCTGCTTCTCTCTGGGTCAGCCGCTCCATGCTGGGCTCAGATTGCCTCCCGGGAGCCTGGCACTGCTGTGAGTCTCTTGAATTTCCACTGGTCCCCTTGGCTGCTCCCCAGCTAAATGCTGCAGGAAGCGCCAGGTCTTGCTCGTGTTGGGACTGGGAGGGTGCAGTGCAGGTTCTGACCTCCCCCTGCCTTCGCTGCCAGCTCCCAGCGCTGGGAGTGGCTCTTGATCTGGGCTCCGTCGGGCTGTGGCGACAACGTGTTGCTTTCGGTTGTCACAACAACGTGCCGCGGCAGCTCCACGCGGGGTCCCCTGCAGGATCCGTTCCTGCCCCGCTGGGATGTAGTTAGGGATTCTGTAGGACAGCCTGTTCGGAGGCCTGACTTGGGTTTGAATCCGAGCCCTCCTTGAAAAGCCTTTCTTCTCCGCATTGTGAGAAGATGCAAATTCCCTTCCTCGCCGGGCTCCTCCAGCACATAATGCAGGGAGGCAGCGTGGGGAAAACGAGTTTGCAATGGGCCGAATCCACGCAGAATGCACCTGAATTCCAGATGCGCGTCGAACAGTAAAGCCAGCTGCTGTCAATACAAGTAGCCCTTTTCGTGTGTCTTCTCTTTAAATTCCCTTTCTGCTTCTAGACTTATGGCTGACATCAGAAATAGGATTAAATGGCTGGTGACCAGAAGGGCATCGCCGATTCTGCATGTACACAAGGAAACCCGAAGAGATGAATAGTCGGGGAACATCAGATGTTGATGGTTTACATGGTGTAACCTGATTTCATCTCCTGTAATCGCATCACCAGTACAGCATGAAATTGGAAAGATGTGGAAGCTATTAGAGACTGTCCCATTCCCACCCTCTCTCCCACACGCGCTGGCTCCTTGTACAGTGAAAGCATCGAGTCTGTCTGGAAAAAGTCACGCTCTCTAATGTAATCGGAACCTCTTATTGTTAGAACACCAATCTCGGCTAACTAGCGACCACACGCCCCTGGAAGGCAGCTGCTTCGGGGGGGACGGGGAGAGCGTAGCAGCAGGGCAAAGGGCATGGAGTCAAAGACCTACTCTCATAAAAGTGCCTTGTGCCTTAAGCCTTAAGCGTAAAGGCTGCCGGCATGTGACCCCAGCGATCCAAACGCGTCGAATGATCCAGAGGGGAAGACCTGGGCTTTGTCGCACCGTCCCTGACAGGTTATGATAGTTTTGGACTGTGGAACTGCTTGCTCAGGATCAGTGTGAGAGGGTGGCTTGCCCTTAGAATGGCCAGAGGCCTGGGGCCAGCCAACCCTAGCTCGTGAGTAGGCACAGCTGAGGATCAGCTGATTCCCCTCTAACGGGCAGAGACGGAAGATGCTCATGGGGACCAGTGTGGAAAGCTGGGACTGGGGAGTAGACTTCAGTGGAGAGAAATGCTGGGAGAGTAGGAAGCCAGGCCCTCAGGGTGGAGGGTCTGAGCCCAGTGTAACTGGGGTGGAAAAGACTTGTAATTTAAGTTCATTTTATGCTAATAAACCAGACCCCAGGAAGGCAGCAGTAGGATTGGACACACCCCTATTTAGAGTTGTTGAGGAACCAAGAGGGGAAACTGAGGCAGCGGGCAGTTTGCAGGGCTGCCATGTGGTGGCGCATGGGAGGTGGCTGACAGGGTGACAGGGAGTGTTTTAAAAAGAAAAGGAGGAAGACACGTTCCATCTTGTAGCTATAAGGACCAGCCTCCCGTCCCGTGGGTTGTAAGCAGGGTTTGACTCCAGGACTTTCCGTGCCCCAGCCTGATCTCTCCCACGTGACTAGAGGAAAAGCTATTCCCCCTCTGTAGACCAGCCACGAGGAGAAGACTCGCCGGCAGTCACCTCCAGCCCCTCGCGCGCATCGCTGGCACCCAAAGGGGCCCAGCCCTTCCCCCGCGGCCCTGGGATTTCTAGCTTGCGGCTTCGATAAGAAACCTTCCAAGTCCCAGCCTGGAGTTGCTCCCAGGGTGGTGGTGCCCAGGGAGCGGAGAGCAGACCCCAGGCTGGCGTGTGTGGTCTGTGGGACTGACATCAGCGCGAAGGTGGCGGGAGAGGCTGGAGGGCTCTGGGAGGGAGGTGCGGGGGGGGGGGGGGGAGAGCTGAGCCTGCAGCTGTCCCTCATTCCCGGGGCCCTGCCTCGCAGCTGCAACCGACTAACCAGCTGTTCAGCAAGGCAGCAGCTGCTTCTGCTTTACTAGTAGCGGAAACCTTCGTACCTTCTCCTTCCCGGCTCGCGGTGGCGAGGGCGAAATCTAGGGCAGCTCTGGCTCACCACTGGGGCGAAAACGGCTGAGTGTGGGCCAAATCCTGCCAGGCTCCGAGGGCCAGCTCCTCAAAGGTGTTTAGGCTCCTAACATCCACATGCATATACCTTTGTGGCCCTGGTCCTGAGAGCTGCCTAAGCTGCCCTAGGGGCTGCCAACTAAATCCATGGGCCCGGCTGGGTGAGGCCGCTGGATCGGAGTGAAATTCCTGGGAACGGCAGAATCCCCAGCCTTGCGCCGACTGGCTGAGCCGTCGCGTTGCCTTAGATACTGGCTGGGAAACAAACGCACCAAATAAAGGCCGCACAAACCCTCGGCTCCTACCCCCCCTTGCCCCTGGAGCTGCAAGCGGAGAAGGAGCCAAATCCGCAGCTGCTTGCGATTGGCAGGCACGTTCCAGGTGCCCGAAAACGAAAGCTCCCGGGGTCACGCTCTCAGGCCCTTTCTTTAACCTGCCGAAGGCAGCGGCAGGCTGGCTCCATTGAGCATGACGGAGATTGAGCTGCCTGTACACTACAGGTAATTAAAGATTTACACAAAGCCCTGGCTGGCTTCCGGGCTGCCATTCACTCATTTATTTGGATTGTTTTCTCCTTCAGACACTGCCCGTGGGAGGAACTCAGGTCCCCAGAGCCTGGGGTCTCGGGACTGATGTGCGTCTACGCCAGCGTGGAGCAAGGGGGAGCTGAGCAGCGCTGCCTGGCACAAGACGTGGCAGGGCATTCCCCCTCCTCTCTGGTGCTGCCCCGGGCTGCCGACCTCCAGGAGGGGGTCTCGAATCGGATCCTCACTCCCACACATCTTTATTCTCCATCCTCTGGGCTCTAGCTTTCTAGCTACAGCCCATAAGACCAGAGCAAACGGGAGTCTAGAGATGTCCACACGGTGCGCCCGGGTCTGCCCGCCTAGCTGCATGCCGGTGCCGACTCAGAGCATTGGGAGCAGATCTGGGCAGGACCCTGGAGCGACAGCACCTCCGGTCAGCCTGTATTATCACCAGGATACGTGAATTCGGTTGTGGGCCTTGATCCTTGAAGTACCCACCCAGGGATCGATCCTGCGGGAGGCTGCGTGACACCCCCCCCTCCTGCCACTTCTAGTTCACTGTGTTTAAGGTCAGAAGGGACCATCAGGTCATCTAGTCCGACCTCCTGTATAGCCCAGGGCATCCCTTGTCGCCCAGTTCCCTCTGTGCTGAACCCTACAACTTGCAGCGCTACAGACTAGGGACCGAATGGCTCGGCAGCAGCTCTGCGGAAAAGGACCTAGGGGTGACAGTGGACGAGAAGCTGGATAGGAGTCAGCAGTGTGCCCTTGTTGCCAAGAAGGCCAATGGCATTTTGGGATGTATAAGTAGGGGCATAGCGAGCAGATCGAGGGACGTGATCGTTCCCCTCTATTCGACATCGGTGAGGCCTCATCTGGAGTACTGTGTCCAGTTTTGGGCCCCACACTACAAGAAGGATGTGGATAAATTGGAGAGAGTCCAGCGAAGGGCAACAAAAATGATGAGGGGGCTGGGGCACATGACTTATGAGGAGAGGCTGAGGGAGCTGGGATTGTTTAGCCTGCAGAAGAGAAGAATGAGGGGGGATTTGATAGCTGCTTTCAACTACCTGAAAGGGGGTTCCAAAGAGGATGGCTCTAGACTGTTCTCAGTGGTAGCAGATGACAGAACGAGGAGTAATGGTCTCAAGTTGCAGTGGGGGAGGTTTAGGTTGGATATTAGGAAAAACTTTTTCACTAGGAGGGTGGTGAAACACTGGAATGCGTTACCTAGGGAGGTGGTAGAATCTCCTTCCTTAGAAGTTTTTAAGATCAGGCTTGACAAAGCCATGGCTGGGATGATTTAGTTGGGATTGGTCCTGCTCTGGGCAGGGGGTTGGACTAGATGACCTCCAGAGGTCCCTTCCAACCCTGATATTCTGTGATTCTATGATTCTATGATATTCTATGATTGTGTGTGGCTAAATCACCTCTTCCAGAAAGGCCTCCATCCTCCATCTGGAGACAGCAAGAGAGAGCCAATCCACCACTTCCCTGGGGAGTTTGTGAATCACCCTGGCCCTGATTTCGAAGTGAATGCGTGTGGCTTTAACTGCCAGCCGGGGGTTCTTGTTCTCCCTGTCTCCACGGAAGAGCCCTTTAGGATCCACAAAGATACCGATACCCTGTAATCAGGTCACCTCTCAAACTTCTAATCGCTCATCAGATCAAGCGCTCTCAGTTTCCGGCTTTTTTTAAAATTTTCCAGCTCTTGAATCATGCTCTCTTCCCCTTCCAATTTTTCAACCTCCTTTGTACGATGCGAATGCTCAAATTGGCTGTGCCGTTCCAGTGTTGGTCTCCCAGTGTCCTGTCCCAAGGGACAGTCGCCTCCCCCAAGGATCTGATGCGTTCGGCTGATCGTCCACGCTGACCCCTGGTTCCCTGCTTTCCAGGGGGCAGCTCCCCGAGGCAGGATTGTGTAGATCCGTGGGCACCGAGGGTGCTCCGTGCTTCACGGGGCAGGCCTGTGGTGCCCACGGAGATTGTGCTCCGGTGTGAGTGGTGGCCACGTGAGCTATGCCCAGTCTCTTGTGCTGAGGAGACATGGGCACAAACTCCACCCCTCTGAGCCGGAGCAAGTTGGGAGCCGTGCCTCCTAACGGGTCACGTTCCCCTCCACATGCCATCCTGCTCAGCGGGGTGATCCCCATGGCGCTCTGCCCCTACCCTGATGGGACCTGGCCTCTCCTGTTTCTAAGCAGCAGTTGGTAATACAGATTCAGCTTGGGAAAGGTTAGTCACGTCCGTGGGCTGGCGCCAGTCAGTGTGCCCAGGGGGGCGACGCCACGCTGCTCACCGTGGGCCAGATCCTCCGCTGTCGTGTCACGGCTCCCGGGTGTCACACAAGGGGGAAGGAGTCAGGGAATCCTAAATCCTTGGCTCTGCCTGCGCTGGGGATGATCATCGACAGCTCTTCCCGCAAAGCCTCTTGGGGTCACATTGTGCCTGGTGTGCGTCAGGTCCCGATGCACGAAGAGAGCTACGGCACTGCACCGGCCTTCTGGTGCATTTGGCCTCGGCTCAGATCCAAGGTCGGGGGCGCTGGTATAAGCCGTGTTTGACGCCAGCATTGTGCCCGTTCACGAGAGAGTTGCACTGGTGCCGAGCGCCTCACACAGACGGACTCCAGCTTAAACAGACTAGCCATCAAGGAGGGGAGCTGGCTTGACCTGCCGAGTCACACCAGCACAGATGACATCACGTGAAATTCTCAGGCAGCGTGGCCTAGCGGACAGAGCACTCGGCTGGGAGTCAGGAGACCACAGTGCAAGGGGCTCTCCCTCTCTGTGGCTCTTTCTCCTCACCCCTTTGGTCTGTTGGGGTTGTAAGCCCCCAGCACAATGGGACCTTAAGCTCAGTGGGGCCGCGAGGTAATTCTGATCGTCATCAGTGGTAAGAACTTTCTCCTCTGCTTGAGAAGACAGTTCCCAGTGACCGAGAGGGCTCTTTCTGACGTCCACGTGGAACACCCCGGGCAGGTCAGTCGTAGGTGGGGAAGGATCGACAGCCAGACCCAGTCAGACTGGTTGGCTCCGGGAGACGTCATCTGCGGTTGATCCTGTGTCTCGGGCTGTGTCTGTGCCGGTTAGTCACTCCTTTCATTTCCAAGGCTCTTGTGTAAGAGTGAGAGCCGCTTATCGCACAGCTCCCCGGGCGCAGCGGTGGGAACACAGACACCCGGGCATCTCTCTGGGGTTGAGGAGGGTGTGTTATTCCGTCTGGGGTCTCTCTGAAGACGTTTGTGTTCTCTCTTTGCTGAGGTGCCCGGGCATCAGACTGTGTGTGTGTGTTTGGCTGTGGGTTTCAGTGTTGTCTCTTTGTGTGTGCATGCCAGGGGGGAGCGTGTGTCTGTGTTTGTGTGGGCACGGGCGCCAAGGGCTGGGTGGGTGTGCATGGCCACACTGGCCCCGGGCTGTGTGTGTGAACTTTTGGGCTGGCCCTGGCTCACTGGTCACTGATGGCCAGGCCAACGCTAACGACCTTTGCTGAGCTGCAAACAGCCTCTCGCCTCTGCTAAGCAAACCTGGGTGGGGTGAGCCCTTCCCGACTCCAGGCTGGTCTGGATCAAACCGCGTCACGTCCCTGGGGATTGTTCTTACACCTGCTGAGTATTAAATCATGCTTCCGTGTACTGAAGTCTCCCCTGACCTCCTCACGAGCCCTTCCCCACCAAGCGCACAGTGGGGCCTTGCTCCCGGGGAAAGAGGACCGGTCCCTCTTGGCTATTTTCCCAGGGAGCCCCTCTCCCCAGTGGGAGTCTGGGCTTTGTTCCTTGTTAGCGTCTGGTACCGCCAGCGATTTGGCTGCTGCTGCTGCGGATTTGGTGGCTAGCTCCGCTGAGGTACAGGGAGGAGCGGCAGGTAGCCTAGCTGGGGACAGGGGTCTCCTGGGACTCCAGGGGTGGGACCCGGGATGCAGTGAGTGGGCCGGGCTGGGATTAGTGTGGCATGGGGCTAGCTGGGAACCCAAGGCCTGGAAAAGAGCGTGCCTATGATGTCTGTTTAGGGACCACGTTCATTAGGGAGCCTCCATCCCTGGCTGTGCATGGGCCTAATCCTGAACGATGCAGATCCCCTGCCTCTCTCATCAGTCACCATGAGTTGCTAGAGTCTCTCTCAGGATTTAGCCCAAGGTTTGCTGCAGATCACCCGGCCCGTTGCATGCCCTGCCGTGTGATGCCCCAGAGCAGGGATCGGTGCAGAACAGTGGGGATGGCCCCCTGGGAGCTGCTGATGTCTGTCTGTATCTCACCCTGCACACGCTGGAGTAAAGCCAGGGGCTACCACTAGCCCAGGAGAGAGGATCTGATGGGGAGTCAGGTTTTCTGGTGGGGTGGCCCATGACAGCAGGGGCTGGACTTGACCCCTGAGGCCCCTTCCAACCCTGTGTCCTGTGTTCTTATGACTCCCTGGGTTCACCCAGGAAGAGAGTGTGTCTGAAATCAGACCGCTGGGCAGCAAACAGCCGTGTCAACGTAGGAGCGTGCAGGTGGTCTGGGAGCAGCGATTAATCAGAAGGGAACGGTTTGCAGCTTGGAACATCCCCCACCCCCCGCTAATCCCATCTGTCACGCTGGCTCTGTGCCGGAGGAGAGGCCTCCCGGGAATGCCGGGCGTGATGGGATGGGAGAGATGGCCTGGGTGACTCAGCAGCCGGCACATGCCGCTC